TACACCGAAAATTTGATAGTCACACCCAACCGACACTCAACATTGATGCTCGACACTCAACTAACACCGAATGTAGACGGTTAACACTCAACTTTCATGGTAAACACCCAAATTTCAGTGTTTACACCCAAAATTGAGGATTTTTTCATAAGGGCGTGGAGGTAAGCAGTTAGCTTCGTCACCCTGAAGGAAAAGGTTTCGAAACCTGGCATGCAATTTGGATTTTTGTTCTCATTTTCTTCCTCCCATATATGAAAATGTTATTTAATGCAGTCGATATTAATATGTTTAATATATATTTAACTTATGATATAATTATATGTAAAATATTTATATTTTGCATGGTGTGTATGTTCATAAGGCGTGCCCCTTGTATGCTGACAGAAAATAAGCAGCTGGATTGACAATATTGGCAGCCCCTTATTTTCAAAGAAATATTATATATATAAGACAAATTACGCGTTAGTGCAACAATAAATTGATATAGTTACTGATCAAGTCGTAATTATTGAATCAATTGACAACTCATTACAGCAACTGTACAATTTGTTCAATCGACTAAACGTTTGCGTGAACGATTTTTTTCGTTCACGCAAAGTTTCATTAACTCAGACTTTCTTTTCTCAGTGCAGCAGTACATGTAATCAAACTGTCGAAACGATGTACTGCTATAATACTGCTACATTGCTAAGATCGTTAATATTTATTTTGGATCGACAGTATTGGCAGCCCCTTATCTTCAAAGAAATATTGTATATATAAGACAAATTACGCGTTAGTGCAACAATAAATTGTTAAGTAAATTGTGTAGTTAATTGATATTTTCGCTTATAATGATACAGAAATTGTATACATTATTGCACATTCCAAAATAAATATTAATATGTAATTATAATATGAAGGTGACGGGCTGCCGATACTGTCGATCCAATTGCTTACTTCCTCTCAGCATACTAGGTACACGCAAACATACACCATGCAAAGTATAAATACGTATTTTACATATAATTATATCATAAGTTAAATACATATTAAACATAATACCGACTGCATTGAATAACATTTTCATATATGGGAGGAAATGAGAAAAAAAACAAAATAGCATGTCAGGTTTCGAAACCTTTTCCTTCAGGGTGACAAAGCTAGCTGCTTACCTCCACGACCACCACGCATTCTTGACTGTAGAGGTTTTAGTATCTCTACTTAAGTGCAATATTTATGTATTAAACTGTTCACTTTTCTCCTGCAAACACTCAACAATCCATTGTATAATTTTGCATGCTGACTTGTAAAAATTTCAAAGAAATCTTCTAAATCAGATGGATGTCAATTCTCTTGTGAGAAGATGAGTATCTCAAATTACTGATATCATTTAAATTATTAGCGTTAATAACATTATTTAATATTAATAATTAAAATATAATAATTATTGCATATTAACATTTACAACGCATATGCATGTATATGTTCATAACTGAATATGAAAATTATAAAATTGAATATAAAAATTATAAAAATGGCCACCCCCATTAACGTCATTTTGTGTCATTGCTAGAAGTTGTCCACGCGGTCTCAAAATATTCCTTCCCGAATTGCGGGCAGTGCGTCGCGTGAAATATGAGAAGGCGGAGGGGTAAGACAGGAAATATTCTAGCTTAGCGATAAGATCTGACTCGCCTCGTGCCTCTTCCTGCCACGCTTACGCTCATCGGTGGTGCAATAAAGATGGAGAGCGATTGATCGTCTGTGCTTGTCTAACTTGCTATTTCTTATAAGGAAGTAGAGTGAGAAACAACCGTGCACGCTTTGCCGTTACCGTCAGGACGGATGTAGTGTGCACACATTTTCTCAGGAGGCGCGACGGAATACGGCGGAAAAATCGTCCCAGCGTAATCGGCTCGATGGCCCCTCTCAGGTTTCTCTCTGGTCGAGCCAAGTGCGAAGCGCTCTGTGTACAACGTTACGTTCATGTAATATGGATAGACCACTGAAATATATACTAACTGGAACGAGCGTAGGCGTACGATTTTATTATTTGTATGCGAATAGAGAGAGAGAGATTCCCTGGTTCCTCTCTTATCCTTGTCTGACCTACAGTGTCGTCAAGAGGGGGGATAATGAGGTACAGTCAATGAAAAAGTTGGTCGCTGAAAATAAAGAATAAAAGAAGTGAAAGAGTGAAAGAAGAGCGAGAAATTATAAAAGTTATAAAAAAATTGTAGATAGAAAATAAAAAAAAATAGCATTTGCAACGTCAAACGGACCCTACTTATAGATATGTATACAAGATGTCCCATTTTAATGTCCCACCCCAAATAACTCTTCAGTATTGAAGTTTCAAGGAAAATGATCTGAAGTTGTAGGGATTTAAGTGAGCTACCCTATGATGACCTTAACCTCTATTTTCAAGATCATTTGAAGATCAACTTGCGTCTTTTAAATGGGAATCATCATTTTTTTATTACACTGCTTTTTTCTACTAGTTAATTTGAACAACTTTTGTCTAAAACATTTTTTTATTTGTCTAATATTTTTTTAGATATTTGAGGAAAACTTGATAACATTTTCAATATTTAACTTACGATGTCTCGCTAATTTATCGGAAGAAAAAGTGGTACTAAACTTTCTTGTTATATTAAGTCTCAAGAATATATTGTTATAATAGCGCCCTGATTTTTGTTAATTTGATGATTTTGAAATTTCCAGAAGTCTGTCCCACACACACACACACACACGCGCGCGCGCACACACATATACACGCACGAACGCACGCACACACACATATACGCACGCATACACACGCGCACACACACACGCACACGCGCGCGCGCGCGCGCGCACACACACACACACACACACACAGCAGAGGAACGCGCGTGCCCGCATGGAGCCTTATCTTTCTTCTGTTGTCGCCATGGGCCCTCGCTATTGCAAAATCAATAGAAATGTTCAAATGATCAACTCTGCGGAAAAAAATCTTAGAGATCTTGACGACCTGTTGGTTTCGTCTCAGAAAACCCTTCCGAACGAGCCCTCACTCAATCCCACATGCTATTTAAGATTTTTTGGCTCCCCCTCCCCCCGTCTCCCAAAGATGTGGAGGTGGGTGTTTTTGTGGTTAAATAATAGACTTTGTGATCCCATTGTATCCCTATAAATTTCAATCCTACATTTCAAACCATTCAAAAATTATTTAGGTGGCCCGGAACTTTTGGTAGGCACTGTATATTTCAGTGGGATAGACCGAGCCATCTATGAATGCGTGCATGGTGGGAGAAATCAGTAAAGAATCGTGGACACTGGCATCGTTAGTTTATGTACACGGTTGTATAGAGAGCGCTTCGCACTTAGCTTGGCTAAAAGCGTCCCATGACCACTCTCCTTCTCTCTGCTGCTACATATCTCTCGGTATCCCCTTAACGCAACTGGTGAATGGCGTATGGGTACACCTTACTACCTGAAGCCATATATCGAACGAACGAAAGATATCTCTCGATATGACAGATTTCTTAACCTCAGAAGTATCACTTTTTAACACTTCATAATTCTTCTTTCACCTAAGAGCGACACTTTCTACTTTCAGTTTTGTGGTTTGCAGATTAAAATACATAATATTGCAAAGTTTCACGCAAATTGGAGGTGGAACTCATCTCTTTTACATTTACCAAAAATATATCGTTATGTTATACAACTTATTTAGCTTCTATTTTTTCTTTTTTCACTGAAACAGACGTTGGATTCTGTCCGAACTGTATGCAGTACTCTGTATAATCCCATTCTATATTTACATACAAAGTATCTGCAAATTTTTGACAAAATTATAATATACAAGTAGAACAGATCAAACTAGAAAAAAAGTTGTGTACCATTTTATAAATCCTGCAATAGTTATTCAAGAACTAATTAAGCGATATGAGCAATTAAGCACATGAGAAACAGTAGGATAAACTTGTCTAATGTAAGATGACTTCCAATTTGCAAAAAAATGGTTTATTTAGAATATCTTAAAATATCTTAAGTATCAGTTGATAAAGAAAAGAATGTTTCTTTTCTATGTAAGGTTCTGGGTCACGTGTCGCTCACTGCATTATTTCATAGAATCCACAGATATCGTAGTTGTTAATTGATACTCGCCTTTGATAGAAGATAGTAAGATATCTTTCTTCTAAACTGGACATTATCATTCATTAGACTTATCTATAGAATTGATCCTACCATTTCTCAATTGCCTAGATAGCAAAACTTGCAGAAACAAATTTTACACAGTATCTGCTGCCAAAAACTTGCTATCAAAAATATGGAATTTGATTGATGGCAGAGTATAGTAACTTATTAATAGCAGAAACTGAGCAGGATATGTCATTGCAATGTATTTAAATAAAACATCTTGCAAATTTTGTTTATTTACTATCACCAATCTATCAGATTTTATCAGTAGACTGTCAGAATTGCATACAAATATAGACACAGATGTTTATGAATCTGTTAATAGATCTGTTTATCTGATCAAATCTTACATATCGTCTACTAAATTATATTATTTAATTAATTCCTGAATAATTATTACAAAATTTGCAAAATAATATTTGATCTTTCTCTTTAGTTTGACATATTCTATCTGCACACAATAACTGTGTCAAGAATTCGTAGATATTCTATATATAATTATATATGATTACATATATACACAATTACATAGAGACAAAATTATTATTGGATTATATATAGTCCTATATAATATTATATATAATTACTTTCTCAGATTCATTGCCTTATAAAGGTCACTGCTTGTACCAGCTACATGATTTTTTTATCTCAATAATAACCATGGTAATTTAAAAAATGGTAAAGGACTTTTCTATTTAGTTTAACGATTTCTATTTTCTCAAACCTATCAATGCAATGAATGCTCACTGAATTAAAACCAAACTTGCTCATTGATTTGATTGAGAACCAAACTGTCCTGTATGTGTATTGTAAATATATATAGCTATACATACGTCTGATGATCTTCGAATGCTGTTTTCGTCATCATCATCATGCTCTGTTTCTTGTGTTCTGGAAAATGTGTCGGTGTAAAATAGTTTCTGCTGTGTTAATACAAAAAAATGAGGATTCCACTCTCTGTCAATAGGATCTTCCAAATAAAGAATTCCATTTTTCACAGTGTTTCTGAGATCCATCTCTTGTCTGCTTTCATCATTCCGAACAAGAAACGAAGATTCATCGACACCATCGGGAAGTTTCTTGTGTTTTAGTAAAATTCTTCTACGTAATACGTATGGAGAAGGTAGACATGTTTCATTTTTGTCAACAGGTTGGACTAACAACATGTCTCCAAATACTTCTTGCATAGTTGTTGCCATTTTACGTTGTTGCGTTAAAGTACAGTTATCCTCGATAGACAAAACTACAGGATACCTGAACAAATAACGAATATTAGTAGAAAATAGTACTCATATAATAATAAAAAAATAATAAATAATAAATCATACAAAATTTATTCATTTTTCTTTTTATTTAACTTACTCAGATGTAGCAAAAGCATATTCCTTAATAGTTTTAATAACGTCCAAGAATTTAATTTTAGTGGTGAGAGTGTGGCCATGAAATATAAATGGCATTCCATCTGGACCATCCCAACAATCAAGCTCAATACATCTACATCCTGCTCTCAGTGCACGTACATAAGCCTGACAACTACTTTCACTGCTAATCTGATCTCCCATTAAATACCTATAAATTAACAAAAAATTATAATTGTTATATTTTCATCCATGTGTTTCTTTAAAGATTACTCACGTGTTATGTGATGATGCTATCCAATAATATGCAAGAGGCAGAGTCATGTCTTGAGAAACTTGATTAAATTTTTGATTCCAGATACCATTTTGCTTAGAAAATAAAAAATCAATAAATTCTGAGAAAGTAAAGTATGGTTCTTGTATATCTCTTTGAGGGTCTTGCAAATATTCTCTGATAAAACGTGATATTTCTAACTCATTGTTGCCTAAATCATCTTGTTGTTCAGTTATTAAAAAGTTCTGAAATTCTTGGAGCGTAACAGTTTGTCCAGTTTGACAATAACTTGATAATTTATTCCATTCTGCAAGATTCTGCAAAAACTATTTATTAATTTCAGTACAAATAAATAAGTAACAATAATATACATATATATATATATATATGCAATATATATGTACAAATATATGTATATATATGTATATATGTATATATGTAAATGATATACTTACATTTTGATCAAATATTAACTTGTGATATAGAATAATGAAATCATCAAACCCAAGTTCATTCCGATTTTTTGTATCTACTTCTTTGAATAGTTCTCTAAGTCTACTTGTAGCAATTTTACAATTAATTCTAGGTAAAAATGCTTTTATATCCTTCATAGTAATTCTGTTAGATAACATGTGACATAATTATAAATTAAAATTATTAAAATTATTAATATTATTAAAATGATATATATGTATATGACAAAAAAATTAATTCTATTAAGAATACTTACGTTTCACGAGAACTTTCCATGATATAAAACTCTTTTCTAAGCCATCTCTCAACTTGTAAAGGATATGGTGCATTTATAGTATCTTGTACTAAGTGACGTAATCCTTTAACCCATAATTCACATTCTTTTTCACTAAGAGCTAAATAGATATAAATCAATATCTTAGTTTAATTAAAGTAATTAAATAATTAATACTTGTGTTTATTAGAAACATGTAAAAAACAAATACAATAGTATAAATTTATATATTATATTTACCAGATATAGAAAGAGTTTTCAATCTAAATTCAGATCCGTAAGATATAACAAAACACCTTAAATTCTCCATTTTTTTAGCATCTTCTGGCCACTTTTCAAAATCTTTAGATTGTTTTCCTACCTTAATCTCCTTAACTTCTCTTATTTCAACTATAAATAAACATTTGAAATAAATATATGCTTCATATATACAACATCTGACACCAAATGTATGCTATTCAATATAGTATCCAAAATAGTATTAATATAATTTTTTTTTAATAATCAATAAAATTTTACCTGAACCATCAAAAGGTCTGAATGTTGTACTCCTTGACCATACAATCTGTCTAGTTTCTCTCCTGATCATAAGAGTTTTCTTTTCTGGTCGTTTTCGTGTAAAAAACTTAGTTACTACAGTACCTCTTTCAAGCTGACTAATAATTTGTTCCATTTCAGGAATGATTCCATTCATTTTTAAAAAGTTATATGCTCACTGTAATTATATTATCTGACTTAAAACAGGCTAAATTTTATATTATGATTGTAACTTTAATATTAACTGTTAATACTGTATAATTAACTGTATAATTGTATCATATAAAGTCAAAAAATTTTAAAATTTTAATATAAGTTATTTACAATTTTAGTATATTGCAACATTATATATAGTTCTATAAAATAGATGTATTAAATAACAGAATGTTTAAAACTGAGACAAATATTCATTGTATTGATATTTGAACAGAATGAAAATAATTATAACTATAAAATTAATATATTTCTCTTTTTCATTTTATAAATTTCTATCAATAATGTATTAAAATTACATAATACATATACACACACAAAAATATATAAATGTATATATATATATATATTGTGTGTGTGTGTGTGTGTGTGTGTGTGCGTGTGCGTGCGCGCGCGCGCGTGTGTGTGTGTGTGTGTGTGGTCACTATTGTATTCCGCAATTAGGTTATATATTTTCATCTTTAAATTATTTAAAAATAACAGAATAATTTCTTGTGTATATTTTACATATATATTTTCAAAAATAATAACCTGATTTTAATTTAGAATTCTTTTTTATTACATATCCGCACTATATATGTATACATGTAGATATATATATATATACACATATAAAGTTGAGACAAAAATAAATGTACGGTCCTCAATTTTTTAGAAACATTAATCAATATAGCTGTATGAAATTTTTATAACTAAAACATAACCTAATCAGAATTTTCTTTGAAAAGATCGTCATAGAAAAACATATTACATTTATTACACATATTACGCATATTATAGAATTATCACTGATAATACACGGCCTCTTAAACATGTATTTTGAGAATTTTTTCTTGTAAATCATAATCGAAATTTAATTTTTAGAATGCATTCTTACATATTGATTCGTTTAATAATTGATTTAATTACCATTAATTTCAAACAGTCTTATTGCAAAATATACTTATAAACATGTCATACCTGCTCCCAAAATGATACACGATGTTGATTATACAAAATAAAAATATAATGTTTCACTTATCATACGTAGGTATTGCTCCTAACTTGCGTTTACAAGAATTGAAAACTTCCGTTTAATCTAGTGTAAGCAATATTATGCAGATTCACATGCAAAGCACGACTAAGGCCGATATTCATAGTCGAAACTTATATTTAAGACCGTCTTAAGTTCATCTTCAGATGCTGTATAAATTATTTCATTGGCTTGTTACGTCTTGGACAAGCCATAGAGTATGCATCGAGTTAGATTTACAATCCAACTTTGAATTTGAAGCGCTTTAGCTATTTTTTGAGATATTGAATATTTGAAAAAGGAATATTTCAATTTACTGTTTCTAAAGACTGATTGCAGTTAGGTTCTTTGGTTTTTCGTTATTATTATTATTGTTGTTGTTGTTGTTGTTGTTGTTGTTGTTGTTGTTATTATTATTATTATATGAGTCTTTAGACAAATTATCTTTACTTTCAGCCCAAATAGCACATGACGTCCTCAGGATTATCTCGAATATGTCCTAGGACGTCCTAGGACCAGGTGGGGACATTGTTATATCCGTGGGACATCCTGGGGTGCGTTCCAAAATTCTACTCCGAGTAGTGGAGTTAACTCATCACCATTCTAAAACGCGGAGTAAAGCCAGCGGCACACGGTGCTTGTTTTCGTGCTGGATTACTTGCTGGATGAAAATATTGCGTTGTGATTGGTACATTTCCGAAGATGGATGAAAATGCACCAATCAGAACGCAGTATTTTCATCCAGCAAGCAATCCAGCACGAAAACAAGCACCGTGTGCCGCTGACTTAACCTACTATGGCTGCGTTCCGAAATTCACTGCCAGTACTGAAAATACATAGTTTATGTTACGTATACTATAGAATTTCAGGCTGGTAGTGAATATCAGAATGCAGCCTATGTAGGCGGAGCTTATACCTCGTCTACAATGGAAGTCTGAAGGTTCGTCTACATTAGCTGTAAGAGTAAGGCTGTAAAGTTGTAAAACACGAAATGAAATATTTTCATTCGCTGACAGCTTACGTTACAGCCTTAAGCCCGTATCAGACTATGGATTAGAATTGAGATTGAATTGAAATTTGACCAATTGGAATAAAGAAAATAATCTCAAATATAGTAAACTTAGCCCTGATTGGTTAATTTCAATCCAATACTCAATTCCAATCCGTAGTCTGATATGGGCTTTACAGCCTTACTCTTACAACTAATGTAGATGAGCCTTAAGTCTCGTCTACATTAGCTGTAAGAGTAAGGCTGTAAGGTTGCAAGACACGAAATGAAATATTTTCATTCACTGACAGCTTACGTTACAGCCTTACAGCCTTACTCTTACAGCTAATGTAGACGAGCCTTTAAAGGTCATTCTACAATACGTGTCGTAAGTTGTAAGCCGTAAGAACTAACCAATTATAGCCGATTATTTTTGTAATAATTGACTGTGATTCGCCAATTCTTACGGCTTACAACTTACGACACGTATTATAGAATGACCTATAGAGTCGTAAGTCGTACAAATTGACCAATCGCGGTCGATTATTTTTCTCTTACCGGACTATGATTGGTCAATTTCTACGACTTACGACTCTACGATTTCAGGTCATTCTACAATACGCGTCGTAAGTTGTAAGTCGTAAGAATTGGCGAATCATAGTCGATTATTACAAAAATAACCGGCTATAATTGGTCAGTTCTTACGACTTACAACTTACGACACGTATTGTAGAATGACCTTTCTATTGTAGACGAGGTATTACGCGTTCCAAAAGTAAGAGTAGGTGTATTCGGAATGAACCAGATGGATCTTACTTCTGAAGTGGGTTAGTAGAGTAACTTGAAGGTAAATGCGCGAATTTTTAAGAAGTTAGATAATAAAGGTTAGATTTCGTTGTACTCGTGTTGGTGTTGCTGGTCGTTCATTGCCCGAGAGATCACAATCGTAAGTGATACATTACAATATATATAATTTTAAATATCATCTTGCAAGTTTTTTATGTAACAACTTATTTCAGAAATATGGCTGAAATTAAAGAATTAATTGAACAGTTTCATATATTAATTACAAAAGAAGATGGATTACCATTATTAGGAATGGATTATGGACACAAGAGGTTAGAAATTCAATTTTTTTTTAATATCTTTTATAAATATTTTTCTATAAATAAATAATATTTTTTATAAATATCGTATTTTATCTATCATCATTACATTTGATAATAGAATATGCAAAATTCTTTATCCATGGCTGCGTTCCAATATTTACTGCCAGTACTGAAAATTTATTGTTTCGTTACGTATACTCCCAGACAGCACACGGACGTCCGTTATATGTCCATTTTTTTTTTTACAAAAGACGTCCATAGGACGTACGTTTGCCACAACTTCGGACATAGAACGTCCGATGGACGTACATCGGACGTCCTACAGGTCCGATGTCCAATAAGGACATCCTAATTGTTACGTCCAATTTATGTCCACGGACGTAAATCGGACATACGGACATAAAACGTACTGGACGTGAAACGTATTGGACGTGAAACGTACATCCATTGGATGTCCGGTGCTGTCTGGGCTATACATATTCAATATTGACAATGAATTTCGAAACGTGCAATATTTGAAACTTTACCCTACTCTTTTTCGTTCAAAATCTCGTACATGTAGTAACTAACTTTACCTTACTCTTTCCCCCACTACCACGGGTTTCACAGAGTAAAGGTCATTCTACAATACGTGTCGTAAGTTGTAAGCCGTAAGAATTGGCGAATCACAGTCGATTATTACAAAAATAATCGGCTATAATTGGTCAGTTCTTACGGCTTACAACTTACGACACGTATTGTAGAATGATCTTTAACCGAGCAGAATTTTTGAACGCACCCCTGAGAATGTCCAAAGGACGTCCCGTTCAGGACGCTTTTGGGACATTCTCAGGAAAGCACGAGGACGTCCTCGGGATAGCCAGGACGAATGTTCAGAGAAAGAGTACAAGGATGTTCAATGTGAGGTATTAAGGACATCCTGGAGACGTTCTGTGGATCGGAAGTACAGGACACCTTTATGACATTCGCAGGTCATATTTAGGAGAGAACGAAGATGTTTTCGGAACACTTTTAGAATATCTTCAAGGCAAATTTAGGACAGCGCAAAGACATCGTCGAAAGAGCCATAAGATGTCAAGTACAGTCGTATTTGTGTACGTGTGTGTGCGTGTACAGAAATCTCATCAATTCCAATTATAAATGAGCTGAGAACTAAGAAATGATATATATTTCTCTGGTATATATATATATATATATGTATATATATATATATATACATTTGTTATAAATAATATCAAGTTACTAATTGAACATAAATCTTTGCAATACAATCTATGTAATACAATAAAATATAAATAAACAAACTTATATTTGTTCTATCACACAAAAATAATATATGTAATAAAATCATTTTCAAGCTCCTTGGAGCTTAAATCAAATGTAAAAATGATTTTATGGAGGATTCACACTCTCGATTCGCCACACACTTCGATGTCCAACGTACGACGATCCGATATCTAGGCTGCGTTCCGATATTCACTGCCAGTACTGAAAATCTATAATATATGTGACATAAAGTATATATTTTCAATACTAGCAGTGAATATCGGAACGCAGCCCTAATAGGAGAACAGTTTAAGCCAGCGGCACACGGTGCTTGTTTTCGTGTTGGATGAAAATACTGCGTTGTGATTGGTATATTTTCGAAGATGGATGAAAATGCACCAATCAGAACGCAGCATTTTCATCCAGCAAGCAATCCAGCACGAAAACAAGCATCGTGTGCCGCTGGCTTAAGTCTACCTTAAGCCAGCGGCACATGGTGCTTGTTGTCTCTGGCTTTGTGGGAATCTCGGAAATAATATAAGGAAAATGCTATAATAATTTGGCGGTGATATATAACGTCAGCTAGACAAAATAGGTCAATTTGTAAAATGGTATTGCACGTAAATCGCTGCGACATTTGGCTCACTCGCCCTCAAACGCCTGGAAAGCATTTTCTTGCCGTGTATCGGCCGGTGAAATGCCGTGAGTGAGTAAGACGAGGACAGCGCGATCGATTGTTCGTCCTTGTCAAACTGACTCGACCCAACCTTCCTGCCCTTGCGCTCGCGCGTACGGTGTTGGTTCGCGATCTCGCCGCTCGAGGCCTCCAAAGTCAACGCTGGATTTGTCTCTGGGGCTCCTGCAGACCCTTAATCGCTGCATGTGGTTGGCTGCTCTGCGACCTAACCTGTCAGAAGTGAAGCGGATTTGAGGTCGTGAGTAGTTCTTGAATACTCGTATATTCGTTTTAAGTATTCGTGTGATTTTGTTGCGCTCGTTGCGCGTTGCTACTGGGGTACTGGAGACGTAGTGTGTAGAAGAAGAAGAATTCGACGGTATATTCTTCTGGAAGAAAAGCGCAACGTCGACGTCGTGCGTCCGACGTTCGCTGATCGCGGAACAAAGCTGGCTACTGCGTTTTCCCGAGTTATCTATCGGTCGTCACTGCCTGTTATGCGGTGAACGTCGACAGGTGAGTGCGCGCTTTGCTTCGCATTCCGTATTTTTGTTTCAAAACTTTGTATTTTACGGTGACTATATTTTTTTGGTATTTGTTTGTCGCTTCAAAAGAAACTATAGCGCATGAGAAACGTGCTCTTCTTACATTTCACGAAATTTATTAATAAATGAATTGCACAATGCTGCAAATATGTATCATTTTTAGTGTAATTCATATAATCTTTGTTGAAATTGTTGCCAATTTCTTGTACAAGTCTTTTTTTAAAATGTATAAATTTGACATTTAATATATGACAATGGCAGTAATAAAATTCATATTACATCTATAAAATATTCAATCAAAATATAAATCAATAATTATTTTTTGATACATTCAAATTAGAGTATTGTGTGGATAAGTATTTCCCTTATCTTACTTTTAGATTACATTGTATATGTCTTTGCTTGATATTATATTACAATGTATAATATGACTTGTACTATATGTAAAATATTTTATTTTGCAGGTATATATAATGTGACTTGTGTATATGTCTCTAATAAAATTATTTATATTATTGAACATTAATTTTGTTCTTTTATCTCTATAGAAATTATAGTAATACATAGTAACAGTGACGCTCACTCGACAAGCATATAGAAACAAAATGTCTGGGCATAGAGGCAGTGGAGGAGCTGGAAGTCATCATGGAGGCCCTCCAGGTCTAAAACAGATTGACTTGGATCAAATTTGGGGAGATTTACGTGAAGGCATAGAACAAGTTTACAATAGACAGTGTATGTCAAAACCAAGATATATAGAATTATATACGTATCCTTTGTATTATAGGAAGTTCTTTTTAACTTTTCTTTTGTTCTATATGATCTCATCATGAGATGTTTCCTTGCTACATCTGAAATTTTCTATAGACATGTATATGATTATTGTACAAGTGTTCATCAACAATTGACTAGAGCATCAACCAAGAGTAAGAAAGGGCAAATCTCACAAGGAGGTGCACAATTAGTAGGATTGGAACTATACAAACGTCTACGTGACTTTCTTAGGAATTATCTTATTAGTTTACTTAAAGTAAATATATAAATACTGTCTTTTTTTGTTTTTCTATACACATAAAGATATATTTAAATAATACTTTGTAACATATAAATCATCTTATTGCATACAGCATGGGATTGACTTGATGGATGAAGATGTACTACAATTTTATACAAGACAATGGGAAGAATATCAGTTTAGTAGTAAAGTATTAAATGGTGTATGTGCATATCTCAATCGTCATTGGGTACGCAGAGAATGTGAGGAAGGGCGGAAAGGAATTTATGAAATTTATCAATTAGCCTTGGTTACCTGGAGAGATAATTTATTTAAGCATTTAAACAAACAGGTGTGAAGAAAAGATTTGTAAATACTAACATGTACCTAACATAAACATATTTTACGTTTTATTCCAGGTTACTAGTGCAGTGCTTAAATTAATTGTTCGAGAACGTAATGGAGAAACAATTAATACCCGATTAGTCAGTGGTGTTATAAATTGTTATGTAGAATTGGGCTTAAATGAAGAAGATCCAGGTGCAAAAGGACAAAACCTAACAGTATATAAAGATTCCTTTGAAAATCAATTCCTTGAAGATACAGAACGTTTCTACTCTAATGAAAGTTTAAATTTTCTCAGACAAAATCCTGTAACAGAATATATGAAAAAGGTATGAACCAAATAAGTATACAAAAAATATACATTATTATATGTATATGTACATACACACGTATGTATAGCAGATGTGTGTGTGTGTGTGTGTGTATATATATATAAGATGTTGAAAGAATTTATGATTTGTAGGGTAAATAAAACTCGTTATACTGAGTAAAATTATACTCATTACATTACTGAGACATTATACTGAGTAAAAATTATTTAGTAAACCAAAAATTAATTCTTTCAGAGTTATAAATTGTTTTTTTTAGTTTGGTAGCATTTAACAGACAAGTATGTCTTATATTATTACTTTACTATCTTGATATATGTCTATGAAAAGTACATGTTACTTACCCTCTATCTACTTCTGTATATGATATGTTTAACATCTTTGTATTATGATCCCCCTCCTCTCTCTCTCTCTCTCTCTCTCTCTCTCTCTCTCTCTCTCTCTCTCTCTCTCTCTCTCTCTCTCTCTATATATATATATATATATATATATATATATATATATATATATATATATATAGTGTGTGTGTATATATATATATACACACACACACACACACATATACATATACGGATATATATATATATATCTTTATTTATTTAAATATATATGTATATGTACATATATTTTTTCTGTGCAGGCGGAACAGAGGTTATTAGAAGAACAAAAACGAGTTCGCGTTTATCTACATCAAACAACTCATGAACGATTAGCGAAAACATGTGAAAGAGTGCTCATTGAAAAACATCTAGATATATTTCATTCTGAGTTCCAGAATCTTTTGAATGCTGATAAAAATACAGATTTAGGCAGAATGTACCAATTAGTAGCAAGGATACCGAATGGCCTTGGAGAATTAAGAAATCTTTTAGAAACTCATATAGCTAATCAAGGACTTGCAGCTATAGATAAATGTGGCGACTCTGCGGCTAATGTATATATTTTATTTAATATAACTATATTTACACATATATAATACTAAACTATTATAATCCAAATATTAAATTATTTTTGCTTGTAGGACCCGAAAGTTTATGTGAATACAATTTTGGAAGTACACAAAAAATATAATGCTTTAGTGCTTGTCGCATTTAATAACGATAGTGGTTTTGTGGCAGCTCTGGATAAGGCTTGCGGTCGATTCATTAATGCGAATTCTGTTACAAGAGCAGCAAACAGTAGCAGTAAGTCGCCCGAATTATTAGCAAAATATTGTGACTTGTTGCTTAAGAAGAGCAGTAAAAATCCAGAAGAAGCAGAGCTTGAAGATACTCTCAATCAAGTCGTAAGTATATTTACATCAAGTATAATAAAATTGGTTGGTTGGTTGGTTAAATTTTGGTCCTGGAGTTACTACTCCTTTGTCCACAAGTATAATAAAGTGTTTATCCTTATTTCTTTCTCTGTAAAAATATATTTACTATACTTGTATTTATACATCTGTTTATAGATGGTAGTATTTAAATACATCGAAGACAAAGATGTATTTCAAAAATTTTATAGCAAAATGTTAGCAAAACGATTGGTGCAACATATGTCTGCCAGTGATGACGCAGAGGCTTCAATGATCTCTAAGTTAAAACAAGCTTGTGGATTTGAATATACTTCGAAGTTACAACGCATGTTTCAGGTAGATTTTCATAATATGTTAAAATTTATGATTCTTAGTTGCGGAATTCTTAGTTGATGACATTAAAAATGAGGAAATCCATATAAAAATCCCTGTAAATTATGCCGTAAATGAAGTAAGAAAAAAAATTTTCCATAAAATGATACTATCAATTGCTTTAATACGTTTATAAAATGTTCCAAAAACTTTTTTAATCTAACAAAAACAATCAATAAATAACTATTAAAATTAACATGATGTACAACCTTTCTTTTTAACCTACTTTTTTCCATGATTTTGTCACATTAATTTTTTGCCTATTTATTGATTGTTTCAACAAAAAACTTTTGAAGGCATTTTAAAAATATATTCAGCCATGATTACAAGTCATTTTATGAATATATCTCTTTATTTCAATGTAATCAATAGGGATTTTTAGTACAGATATCTTCGCTTATGATGTTATCATATGAGATAACTGTGGTGAGGAAGTAGGAGTCTTACATATATACAAATTGCATTCAGTTTAATATTCTCTAAATAGATATAAACTGTTTTTGTTATTAAAAATTATCACAAACATGTGTCAAACATGATTGTAGCACTATATTTACAGGATATTGGTGTATCAAAAGATCTAAATGAACAGTTCAGGAGACACTTAGTAAGATCTGCTGAACCATTAGATGTGGATTTCAGTATACAAGTTTTATCTTCTGGTTCATGGCCATTTCAACAATCCTTCACATTTTCTTTACCAACAGAGGTAAAGTGTCTAAAAATATTTGTCACAAACTAATTAAATAATTAATTGATTGAAAATCTTTATCAATTGCTCACTCTGATTCGATTGTTTACAGCTAGAACGATCTGTACATAGGTTTACTACTTTCTATAGCTCACAACATAGTGGTAGAAAGTTAAATTGGTTATACAATATGTCTAAAGGGGAACTGCATACTAACTGTTTTAAGAACAGGTATACATTGCAAGCCTCGACTTTCCAAATGGCAGTTTTATTACAATATAATGGATCTACATCATGGACAATACAGCAACTGCATTATGCAACGCAAATAAAAATGGATTTTTTATTACAGGTAATATAATAATAAGAAGTGGCAATATAGTGCAAAATATCAAAAACTATATTTTGCAGGTTATTCAAATACTTCTAAAAGCCAAACTTTTAACTGCAGCTAGCGATGATGTAGCTGAACTGACCCCACTATCAACGGTAGAACTTTTCACGGGGTACAAGAAGTATGTTTCTTTACATGCGTGTAACTAACTGTTATTAACAATTGATTTCATTATGTTACTTGTTTAATAGCAAGAAATTAAGAGTGAATATTAATATACCGATGAAAACGGAATTAAAGGTTGAACAAGAAACTACACACAAACATATAGAAGAAGACAGAAAACTTTTAATTCAGGCAGCAATTGTTAGAATTATGAAAATGCGAAAAGTATTGAAACATCAACAATTGGTAGCAGAAGTCTTGAATCAGTTAAGTTCCAGATTCAAGCCAAGAGTACATGTTATTAAGGTATTTATTAATTGAATCTCTTTCAAAAGATCGTTATTTCTTTAAACAAGAATGTGTCAAATATAAAAATACTTTCATATATTATAATATTGTGTAAAAAAAAATATGGATTCTATTTTTTCAGAAATGTATAGATATTTTAATTGAAAAAGAATATTTGGAGCGCACAGAGGGTCAGAAGGATACTTATAGCTACCTGGCATGATCAGTCGATCTGGGACAACGATACAGCAGCAATCATATATGCATAATAAAAAAAATCTTATATTATCATTGCCACATACGTATCATATTTATTTAAGTGTCAAAATTAACTTTTGCACTTTTTTTCTGTACATGGATGCCTTTGTACATTGTTGTCCTTCTGGTCGCATTTAGAATGTCTGATTACACACGCATACACACACATATACGTATATATACACACATATGCATACGTGTGTGTGTGTGTGTGTGTGTGTGTGTGTGTGTGTGCATATTATATACACACACATATATATATATATATATGTATGTGTGTGTGTATAATATGTATATATGTATGTACATACATACATACACATATACATATATATATATATATATATATATATATATATATATAATAAATAAAATTATTTCTTGTAACTCATAAAATGCTAAGTGTGTTACTGTCTGTGCTGTTTTTGATATAAAATGGGACATTTTGTAGTTTTTTGTAGTCACAATACAAGATGCAAAATTAGATTTTTAATTTATAAAAATATAAAACAATATATTTATTACGTTTTTTATTTGCTGCTGATATTTTCGGTTCTGGAAGACTAGAATGTTAAAAAACTATTTTTCACGAAATAAGTGATGTGCAAAATAATGGAGAAAGTAAAGACCACATGTTATCTACTGTTCTCTACTGTCACATAAAGAAAATCATTGTAAATTGTAATCAATTATAAAAAAATAAATCATAACATCACAATAAAATGTATTATATAACATAAGCAAAAAAGTGTAGAAAATTTTTGTGAACACATAGATAGTAATGCATTTTGGCAAGTCTACTTTTTATGATAGACAACTTTAAAAACCGAATTTTATATCGATGAATGTAAATTTATCACTGCAATCTAACAATTTAATCATTTTCGTATGTAGTATAATTTCGCCTCTTAAATCGTTCTAAATAAAATATTTATAATTAGAATATACACAAATTGAATATACATAATAATGATTTCTTATTAAAGATATGAAGTATGTTAATATTAATACAAATATATGCATACATACTAACTCGTTAGTTGCGAGATTACTATTGATAAAATTGCAAAAAATGTATACAAAGCATCAAGAGGTGATGGCCTTAATTATCCTTAATTATCCTGAGTCAAAACAAAGTTTAAGTATCAACGTGTCGATTAATTTATTGATGGTCAGTCTCGAGTAAATTTGTGAAAATTTTATAAATTTTATATTATTGTAGTAGTTAAAATGCTTGGTATTCAAAGTACAATAACAATAGTAGATACCTATGGCATATAGAAAACAGGCACGAATGGTGCTTAATGAATCTCAAACTCTGTGCCCTCAATAGAAAGTTGATGTATCGAATTTAATAATTTGAAGATATTACGATTAGTTGGAAAGTTCAATTTAAAAATTCAATATGTATATACTCATTTTCAAACTGTTTTCACGCATTTTATTTGATAAAATTAGGAACGCTTCAAATAGTCATAATTACGAAACTTTATTTACAAGCTGGCGTGATAAACGGTTTCGACAAGAGCTGATATGACAATTTACAGTGTAAATACTGGTCTTTTATTATACTCTTATCTGATGAATAAGAATATAATGAAAATAATGATTTTCTTAAATTCTCCGTTAAATTTATGACGTCAAATTTTATATATTGCCTTGACTCCTGTCGTGACCAATTATCGTGTAAGCTCATGAGAAGTAGCTCGCAATCGTAACCATTTGATGTGCTTCTAACTTCATCAGAATTGTGTGCAAATAAGACTTTAAGTATGTGCATATATATGACGATATATATATTCAAATAAAAATAACATTTTTTTCGTAACATATTGTCAATGATAAAAAGGCTGAAGAGCAAAAAAAAATAAATTGAAAATTATAATTAAATTAAAACTAATTAAATTGTGTGTGTATGTATTGATACTTGTCTGTGAGGCAAGTGTTAACATCATGTAATTAACTACAAAAAGAATACACAAACATATTAATGTATTTTACTAAATAAAATGTATTACGAATTTGAATTATGAAATCATTAAATGTAATGTTATTTATAAGTTAGGTTGCGTAAGGGATATTGAGTATATTATGCAGTCTCTATTCATATTCTTGTGACAGTTATTATTTATTAATATCACGATTTGCAAACAAGCTATCTTAACAAATTTCTTGTGCAAATAAATCTGATCATTTTTGTAAATGATAGACATATACAACAGTACATCATCTGCTAAACAATTTAAATTTAATTCTTCACTGCAATATTTTCTAATATTTATTTACCGTGCAATAAAAGTTTATCAACGTTTTTCAATGGATACGCAGATCTTATATCTTTAAGTTTGAGGAATATCGCAAGATATATTTTTATGTTAGGATTGTAAATATTAACAGTTAACATTTATACAAAACGCTGATTGATATTTCAACTTTTTGTGCAGTTGTACTTTATGATTATTATTTATTTCACAAAACAAAAGTTATATATACAAATAAATTAGGAGAAACATTTAGTTATCAAAAGAAAAGGAGTTTAAATTTGGTACAGTCACAATAGAAATCAAATATACGGTTCTCTCTGTTAACTTCAAATTTCAATTTTTTTACTAGATTGATTTAATTCTTCCCATACTGAGAATAAATATTAAACAAATGTTGATATATATAAAAATATATAAAAATGTTTAATTTATTAGAATGTATATTTTAATAAATGAAAATATATTCAAGTTACATATTCAAGTTATATATTCAAGTAAAATATATTCAAGTCAAATAAAATAAAATGTGCATTTTATCTTTTTACAACTCAGAGTTCAAAAATTTGTCCAAAAATTTTGTGTCATAATTTATTCGTACAAATATATTTGTTATTTTACAACAAATCAACTGCTATAATTATTAAGCGAAACATAAATGTTAATGTTCAATTATAAGCAGGGAAGTACATTTTATAAAACAAATATATATTTATATTGAAAAGTTGTATAAAATATCCCAATCCAATGATATATTTGTTTTGACATGTAATATACTAATATGCAGACACACACAACGTAGGCATACCTATATTCATGCTTTCTGTAAAAAGATATATATTAATTCGTGCTGTAATATAACACTGTAAAATATAAACGGCTATAAAATGGAATTAATTTCGGTAATTATTTAAATCAAGAGACATCAAAAATGTTTTTCTTACCTTCACATACATTAGCAAGAACATACCTCTCTGTCAGTCAAAAATTATTAACAAAAGATTTTAAAAATATATTTAATTTAATCTATCTAATGGCACATCCCAGTGAATGGGTTTTAACCATAGACATAGGCTGTGTTCCGAAATTCACTGCCAGTACTAAAAATATTTAGTTTGTGTCACGTATACTATGGAATTTCAGTGCTGGAAGTAGGGTTATCAAATGCAAAATGACTATTTCCGGGATATTTTTTAAGCGACGGTTGAAAAATAAGTTAGAGAATTTTACTTAAATGTGAGAGATAGAGGGGTAAGACGGTAAAGAGATGTCGCCGTGTACCTGCAAGAAATAAATGTGTGAATTAGATATCACCAGAGAGAAGTTTAGACATAAATCCGCACGATTGAATTTTTTTACTCTTTTTTTTTTTTTACCACACGGCTTATTTGACATCAATTTTCTCAGGTAGTATGTTAAATTTTTTGACTTTATAAATCCCGATAGTTGCTCTCACATTTCCCTTTAGTACCAGTTAAAAACATGAATATTATAATTTTGTTGAAATTCCGATTTTCCGCGACAGAAAAGTTAAATTCCGCAACACGGGACAAACTTAAAAAATTCCGAGATAATCCCGGAAATCCTGGCCATCTGGCAATCCTAGCTGGAAGTGAATATCAGAATGCAGCAATACTATCCTAGACTGCGTATCCGAGGAGTGGGGGTAGAGCTCAACGTAGAAAATGATGCATTCTGTTTTGTCTATTCTCTCTCGCACACTCTTGATAGACAATACAACCGCTGTATTTTTATTTTTTTTTTCCGATATAGTAATCAACCTACATCACCGTGTCTTTAGCTCACTCCGAGACATATATAGGTATATCATATCCGCTGTATTGTCGTACAAGTTAGCAACTGCCTCCCCTATTCCCTTTCTATCGAGTGTGCGAGAGAGCGCACAGACAAAACAGAGTGCATCCTTTTCTATGAAAGCTCCACCCACTCTTAAAATTTGAGAAAACGCGCAGCCTAGGTAAACTATGTCTATGATAACAATCATGTAAGAAAATATAAGTATGAATAGTTGAACAAAGTAACTGTTTCGTAAAGTATATGTTTTTATCATAATTGTTTCGAAATTGATTAATATAATTTAAATATATTTGTTAATAACTTTTAAAAAATAAAGATCGATGACTAAAATCGTTTAGCTGTTACTCAAGACTACGTACTTAATAACATATGTAAAAATGAAAGAAATGTATTTTCGAATGTAAATAATTATAATTTCATTTTCTACAACATATATTAAGTTGGTGCAAAAATAATTACGGTTTTCATCATTTTAAGTTTGGCGCCGATTTTTCTAGTTACCATTATCTTTTCCAAAATTCTATCTTGTAGGAATAAACAAACTTGGTTGCCGTTGAGAGAAATGTGTAAGGCCAACGATTTTATCTTAATTAATAAATATAATTTTTAACTGATGTATATGCCTTTGTACTCGATATGTAATTATTATTACGTAATTAATGTAATTATTATTATGTAATTAATCACAATTATTTTTACATCAACCTAAATAGTAACAGTCGTTCAATAAATATTTTTTATACACTTGAGAGTCTCTGAGGTTTCCACTCTAATAATTTTGTAAGGTCTTCTCTTGTCAAATGAATTTTCCCACTTGCCATTAAATATATCTGTAAAATTAAATAATTGGGAAAATTAATTACAATATTATTACAGTTATAAAAGTTTATCAAGTAATACATACATTTTGTCGTTTTAAATTATCTACAAGCAGTACTTGTTTTTTAAACGCTTGCATTAATTCCAGTCGTTGTTTTTCTAAATTTTTTATGGATAAATTCTTATCTTCCAGCAATTTTTTAATTTGGTCTCTTAATTCCTATAAAACATACATTATATTTAAGATAATTATATACATTTTTATTAGATACGTTTCATGTTAATCATACTTTTCCCTCTAATTGACTAGATTTTAACATGCTCCTAAGTTTCCCATTACTTTCTAGAGATCTATTTAGTCGTATATCAAAATTAGATATTTGTTTACGTAATGTCTTTATTTCCGTCTTAAGACTGTATAAATCCTAAAAAGAAGAAGGTATTTTTTCAGCACGAAATATCTATTTTTACGCGCGCGCGCGCGCGCGCACGCACACACACACACACACACACACACACACACACACACACACACACACACACACACACACACAAACACACATGTATACAGAGTGTCTTAAAAATATACGAAATCCCCGGAGAACTTCGCAGGATCAAGTTTTCATGAAAAATTTTAAGTACAAAAGTTGTAAAAAATCGAGTAACGGACTTGATGGTGACCTTGAATTTGACCTTGGCCATGACCTTCATTTGGAGGTCAATTTGAAAAATTTAAATGGGAACCCCTATTTTTTATTACATTGTTTTTTTGTACTAATTAATTTAAACTGTTGTCTAAAACATTTTTTTTATTTGTCAAATATTTTTTTAGATATTTGAGGAAAACTTGATAACTTTTTCAATATTTAACTTACGATATCTCGCTAATTATTTGTCAGAAGAGAAAGTGGTACTAGACTTACTTGCTTTATTTAGTCTCAAGAATATATTGTTACAATAGCGCCCTGAATTTTAACTTATTGACTTTTGGAAATTTCAAAATTATCAAATTAACAAAAACCAAGAATATATTGTAACAATATATTCTTGAGACTAAATAAAGCAAGAAAATCTAGTACCACTTTTTCTTCCGACAAATAGCACGATATCGTAAGTCAAATATTGAAAAAGTTATCAAGTTTTCCTCAAATATCTCAAAAAATATTAGACAAATAAAAAAATGTTTTAGACAAAAGTTGTTCAAACTAACTAGTAAAAAAAACAGTGTAATAAAAAATAAGGGTCCCCATTTAAAAAAACGCAAGTTGACCTTCAAATAACCTTGAAAATAGAGGTCAAGATCATCATAGGGTAACTCACTTAAATCCCTACAATTCAGATTTTATTCAGATCATTTTCCTTGAAACTTCAATGCTGAAGAGTTATTTGGGGTGTGACATTAAAATGGGACATCCTGTATAGTCCACTTCTTAAGATAAAAAAAACGTGTCAAAAATATAAAATATTTAGTAAATATTAGACTATTAAGATGTTAAGTGATGTATCTAAGTATTACATGTTATTATAAGACATAATATATAGACTAACGTCTTTTTGTATTCTTTGTGCTTTCAGGATATTAATTGTTCAGACATAAACAATACATGTTAAATATCTAATTAATAAAAACAAAAACTAATTACTGTATGTGAATGAATCACAGTATCAAATAAATATTGCACTATAAAAAAAAAAAAAGAGTATATTGCTGTTCCTTAGTAAACATCAACTAAGACACTAGAACATCCTATGGATGTTATGCGGATTGTGTAATTTGTAGCTAATGAACATGTCCTCAGGTACTTCTGTGGATAACTTTTTCATTTGGATCATAACAGGATCATTTTGATCAAATTAGGATATACTCTGGAGATCTAATGCTATGTGGGATATTATTGTACTGCATTTGCACCAATGGAATTAAAAATTTGCACAGAAATTTTTATTTGTTTTCCAAAAATTATTGTTGATAGATTTTGATAAAGTCATTAGTTTAGTGAATATTTATATCTTGATATTTTAATACACCTAATTTTATAAATGTAGAATGAACAATTTATTCTAAATTTAATTTTTTTATTGCTACCTAGATAGATATTTTTCAGTTGCAATATATGTAGCTATATACTATATACTATACACTATACAGATAAACTATAAAGAGACCAGATATCTTAGTTTATTATATATATATATATATATATATATATATATATATATATACACATAAACATACACATACAGAATATCATATTTTAGTTTTGAAACAGTGAAGTTTATTTGAAAAAAAAAAAAAAAAACTGTTATAGATAAGAATTATAAGATTTCAAAAAGTAATTATAAGATAATAATATTATAAAAATAATATTAATATTATTAAAATATTTTTTAAGTTATTTCAAGATCAGAATTTGGCTTTTAATAGAATTATATTTTTTTCTTTTAATCAAATGTATTTTAATATAAATCAATTCCTTTGGTCATTTTAAAATCATTTTACACATAATAGTATAGGAATAAAATTGCATGAAAGTAAATATTTTTCATATTTTATATTTTATTCTGATACTTTCCAGTATAAAATATAAATTAAAGCATAAAATATTTAATTTTTTATAAAATCTCATCTTTGTAGTTTTGTGCATAAATTAATGAAAGAATTCATTTGACAATATTAATTTCTGTTCACTACTTATTAATACTATATTACTACATCTGTTAAATATGACCTTTTTAGATGGCTTTTCAGTTCTATAATTTTTTATTTATATGTATATATTATGATAAAGAAAATATATAAATACCTTCTCCAAGACAATGTTCTCATTGCTCAAAGCTTGACACTTAGAGAATATATCACAATTTGTACTTTCCAGCTTTGCAATTGTATTACTTAATAATTCTATCTGTCTATATAATTTAACTTGAGTCTCATCAAGCTTTTTATTTTTTACTTCTAATTGTTTAGAATATTCACACTGTAGGCAATAATACATTATTATTTGGTTATTTCATAACATTATAAATCTATTTTTATAATTTTTTAGAGAATTTTTTGTTGATAATAAGAATTACCTTTTTGTTATGTTCAAGCTGTATTGTTTGTAGCTTTTTATGTAATATATCTATTTTGCCTTTAAACAATTTGATAATAGCCTCATTTCCTAAATTATACTTCTTTGATGAAATTTCAGTGTCAGAAATATTTTCTGTAGACAAGATTTCAGAAACTTCAAGTGATTTTATTAATTGTTCGTCTATATTTGATGTTTTATCCCCTGGACAAGTTGTTTCCATATCTTTCATTGTAAAACTTGTATGTAATTGCTTTGTATCGATGAGCAACTTATTATTGGCTTTAATACATGTCATGGAGTTAATTTCCATCATTATATCATGCATTTTCAATTGAAGGTCCTGATTTACTTTATGAAATTTGTTTTCCTTAGTTAATAAATTATCGGACATTCTTCTTTATGACAATATTATTCAGTATACTGAATGATTTGAATGTGACAATGTTATTCAGTATATATGCTCAAAGTATATATTTATTAAATATATTTATACTCTGAATAAAATGATAATGACATACAAGTAAATACTTAAAGTTCTCTCTTTTTCCATTCTAAAAATTTAAAGAAATTGATTTCATATATTTAGTTAAATTAATTTTATTCTCAAAAATTTGACTATAATGCCCTATGTATTAAAATAACTACAAAATAATATTTACTATAAAAATTTTATAATTACAAATGCTTGTGTGTAGTACAGAAAAATTCGAAGCTTGCTTACCAACACGGCATGAACTATTCCATTTTATTAGCAGAGAGAAGCCTGAGGATGATTACGACGTGTTGATAAGTTACGTTCTGAAATGCTGACAGTACTGATAGGACTGCTACTGAAAGCAGCGTGTTAGTCGTTTCAAAACCTGCAGTGAATGATTAGTAGCACGGAAAATGGAACGCATTTGTAGTATCATAAAGTGATTAGGGCGCGTTCCTTTATTTACTGCGGGTAGTAATATAGTATTAAATAGTGAGCAGAAATTAATATTGTCAAATGAATTCTTTCATTAATTTCTGCACAAAACTACAAAGATGAGATTTTATCAAAAAATAAATATTTTATGCTTAATTTATATCTTATAATGGAAAGTATCAAAATAAAACTGTCAGCATTACCAACAGTGTTCCGATATGAATTGCAGTACGGTCGCGGACATAAAGGTTGTCACTTTTTTTTTAATGACTTTCGGGACGCATCCCGACTCGAGAAAAATGAGAGCTGCTGCTCCGCCTGCGGAGCACGCCTACGCAGTAACTCACAACGAAATGCGAGAAATGAAATATATGTGGTATGATATAAGTATGTCAACAATCATTGCGCTCAGTGGAGACAAGCGCTCAGTGAGCGATTAGTGACTATTGGTCCTTACTGTTAGATCCTTACACTCAGACCAATAACGTTGACGAATTATTCCACAGTTGCTCAACCGTTGTCGTGAACGCACCCAATTCTTACATTTTGAAAAATCAGCAGCGGACGGATAAATATATAGTGCAAGTCACTCAAATGGGAATGCGTCCTTTGCAAGGTATTAAACAGCTGTGTATATTAAATTTTAAGTGAAATCGTATTTTTTTAGTCACTAATCGCTCACTGAGCGGTTTTCTCCGCTGAACGCAATGATTGTTGACATACTTATGTCATACCACGTATATTTCATTTCTCGCACTTCGTTGTGAGTTACTGCGCAGGCGTGCTCCGCAGGCGGAGCAGCAGCTCTCATCTTTCTCGAGATGAGATGCGTCCCGAAAGTCATTAAAAAAAAAAGTGACAACCTTTATGTCCGCGACCGTACACTGCGAAAGCGTTTCTGGCTGCGTTTCAATATTCACTGCCAGCACTGAAAATCTATAGTATACGTGACACAAACTATGTATTTTCAGTACTGGCAGTGAATTTCGGAACGCAGCCTCTATAAATGTATGACGTCATTAATTTCGGCGTCACTTCCTGCTATGGCTACTGTAGGCAGAGAGAAACGAGTGTACTTATTATGGAACTCGTCAGAATGTCGGAATCGATTCCGATCGGAATAATTCCGTTTCCCCTAGAAAAGACAATAGAAATCTAGGAAATAACGGGATAAATTCGATCGGAATCGATTCCGACGAGTTTCATAATAGGTACCCTGAGAATGGCCACCGGGCGAAAGCATATGTCTGTCCTGATACGCCCCCCGAGAAAATAGACGTCAACTAACTCGATGTCTCGGTAACGATATGAGGTTTGTGTCTGTGATTTGAGTCTGGTTAATGTCCAAGCTACTAAAACAGACTATAGTGAAAATTATATATATATATATATGAGTAAGAGAAGGATAACAATTGAATCGCTTTGACTTTGTCTCACCACCAGTGAGCAGACACGTGACACAGGCACAAGTAAAGCCAACGGCACACGGTGCTTGTTTTCGTGCTGGATTACTTGCTGGATGAAAATACTGCGTTCTGATTGGTGCATATCCGAAAATGGATGGAAATGCACCAATCAGAACGCAGTATTTTCATCCAGCAAGCAATCCAGCACGAAAACAAGCACCGTGTGCCGCTGGCTTTAGTTAAGGATGTGTGCATCGTATTAGAATAGTTCGCTATATTGTGTTAGACTGTATAGAGATATTGCTTGGGTATATGAGAGAGTGTGATAAATAATAAACGTATACAAGCGATAACAAGCATGTCACATTGCACAGCTCCGGGATGTACTTCTGGATATAAATCGAATCCGGAAGAAATACATTTCTTTATTGTGCCAAAGGACAAAAATATAAGAAAATTATGGCAAAATGCAATACGAAGAAAAGACTTTGTAGTGCGAGCAGGACAATTTCTCTGTGAAAAATATTTTGTGCCTGAAGACACATTATGGAAGCGAGATTTAACAGGTTCTGATGGACAAATACTCAGCGTTGTAAGTTGTACTTGTAACAAACTATTGTATTATTTCTGTGTGTTTATCTGAACACACAGCTTATACAATCTTTGCTTTCCAGTCATATTATAAACAACCGAGGTTGCGAAAGGGCATTGCACTATCACAGTTTCCATGAACAGAAACTATAACTTTTGATAATGCTCCACTTCACAAACGAATACAAGATCCGGTGCATGAGATTGTGCAACGGTCTGAAGAAGAAAATATACAAGAAACAGCGTTGAATAAACCAAATGAATTAAAATTTTCATTTACATATTTGGTATCTTGTACTACATTGCAAGTACCAATAGGTTGGATTAGACATACCTTCATCTGTGAAGGAGCTACAATTGAGTCATTTATCACAGTACCTAAACAGTGCCTAAAAATAGAAGACAGTTTTCTCACCAGAAATATCAAAGAACTCATCGTGCAAGACAACTTACATCTGAAAATTAATGTAATGTGCAAATTCTTTGATGCTATCAATTTAGATATTTACAGTGATGCAATAAGTAGCACTGAAGAGGTAGAAGCAACATTAAACATTTTAGATGCGAGAAAGATTTGTTGTGGAACATCTGTTGCAAGAAATATTATGTATGGCTCAAGTGTTGCATACAAAGAAGGTAGTGGTACTGTACGACATAAGCAATGTTTTGTATTAATTGAAAGTGAAGAACAATGCACATATTGCAAAAGACTTGAAGGAACATTAAAGAGAAAAGAACTCCGTATGAAGAAACGACAAGAAAACAAAAGAATTTATCTCATATTATCTCCAAGAAAACATGAGAAGCTTTGTAGACTAAGGAAAAAACGTCGTGTAGCTCTTAAAGCTAAAAGTCGAGCTCAACAAAATGCTGCAAAAATGAAAAATAATTTGGAAGAATGTCAGGTAGCTGTGGCTAAAATAAACAGTGAATCAATTAATGAAATGCTAACAAAAAAAATATACCAAAACATCAACATGTTGCAATTATAGAAATTATATCAGCAGCTAATTTAAAAGATAAACATGGAAGAAAATATTCTGAAGAGTGGATGCTCCTGTGCATGTTGATGCATATGCGATCACCAACGTCATATAATTTTTTAAGAAACAATGAAATCCTGGCTTCTACCTTGTGTACGTACTATTCGAAGGTAAATCATATTATTATTGTTTTATATAAACTAAATTATTTTCTGTTTATCTATATGTAATATTAATATATTTTATTGTTTACAACCTTTTAATAATGCTCTTTTTTTCATAGGTACCTTTCTATAATTAATACGACGTGCGGATTTGACTCGAAGTTTTTTGAATTATTGAAAATAACATTTCAACAAAAAGGAAGTTTGGAACAACATGGAGTCCTTTCATTTGATGAAATTTCTACTCGCGAAAGCATTTCTGTCGACTCACAAAATTTGACCTACAAAGGTCTTATTGATTTTGGTGAAGGTGGACTCAAATCGAATGATGTCGCAGAAAAGGCTAACCATGGTATTGGTACTTATATTCCAAGCACTTCATACAAAGTATATTCAGCCTATTGCAGTGTTTGCATCAAAAGGTCCAGTGTCAGGAGCAAATCTGGCCCTTATAGTTGTAAAAGCAATTACATTACTGGAAAAGGCTGGTGCTCGTATACATGGCGTGATAAGTGATGGCGGTTCATCAAACAGGAAGTTTTGGATGGAAATGGGTGTCACAGGAAAGTTCGGACATGTAAAAAATTATTTTGAACACCCTACAGAAAAAAATCGAAAAGTTTATGTTTTCTCCGATACACCTCATCCCATGAAGACAATTCGGAATCGTTTATACAATAATTGCACATTGCAGGTAAAAGTTAATGAAAATAACTTATATACTTATATTCTTTTTTTTTATTTCGATTTCAAATTGCTATTTGAGTAGATGGATCCTGCCGAACCGCCAATTTCTTGGGAATATTTCAACACGTTATACACCAAAGAAAAGCATTTGCAAGCCGAATATCGAATATGTCCAAAAATTAGTAAAAACCATCTCTATTTGAACAGTGCAGCAAAAATGAGAGTAAGATTTGCAAGTACGCTTTGCAACTTTACATCCTTATTTTTAATGTGCACAGGTTCTCTGATACTATTTTAATCGTGATAACTTAAATTTAATTTATATATTTCAGATTTTCAGCAAATCCGTCACCAAAGGACTGCCCCTGACCCCTGCGGGACACCACGCTCCACGACGTGCCGACCCTGGACCCCGCCTCTCCCCGAGTAGGCGAGGTCCCAATAGTTTCTGGTTGAACTCGATTAGCACAACTCAGCACATATTGCAGAATTCGTTTATCTGTCACGGTTCAAAAGTTTTATGTGAATAAACATTATATCTTAAATTCGAAATTTTTGATATTTTTTTCTCTTGAACGGAAAGAAACAGTTTTTATCTTTGCGGCACAACTTTCAGTAGCCGAGGCTGCAACCAGCACAATTTTTGTTTTTTCGAGAAAAAAAAATGGTGCTGGCCAAAAAATTGTTTTTTTATTTGTCGCTTTGTTTTTTGAGATAGGCGATTGGTTCTTGCGGCACAAACCTAGCACAACTCAGCACAATTTCGTTTTTTTGCGAAATTTCGAAATGGCGATGCTAACTTCACACACATAAATGTTTCACATATTTTGTCACAAAAAATAAAAATATTTGTAACAAAAAATCTATGATATCAAAAGCACATTTGGAAAACAGATACAATCTATTTACTAAAAACATTAAATATTACATTGGTCAATATAAGGTAAAAAATATTTATAATTCATATCAGATTTATCATGGTCATATTCAATAGCATCAATTACATATAATTACACCATACAGTTCACTATTTAAACGAAAGAAAATTATTATCACTTCTTTTCATTGTATTAAAAAAAAATTACTGAAACTGATTTGGTCCAAAAGTGTCAATTGCAGAACTTAATTCAAGGATTAATTATGATTTTAACACATAACACAAATCAACATCACACTATGTAAAAAGTTTATTTAAAAAAATGTATTTTTTCGAATATCGGCTTATAATCCGTTTTATCATTATTAGATTATTGGACTACTTAGATTCATAAACTATTGCCCATGGTGCATATTCACTACTTAGAATTGAAACTAGATCAAAATCAGTAACAGATACTATTTAGTA